GGAAGAACTGAATGACCTTAATAGAGAGAGACACAGAGAGGGACACAGGTATGGGGGAGAAGATTATAAGCTGTTCTATACATGTTACATATGAGGTGTTTATTAGAAAACAATATGTACATCTCTAGACGCTTGCATTTATTACTCTAGAAGAACTTCATTGTGTCTTGTATTTATTTCTTGTGGATATTTTTTTTTCTTACCAGGACCTATAGGTTGCTTGATGAGACAGGGGAATTTTGTATGGATTCATTTTTTGTAGCCTTTAAAATGCCTCTCTGACACCCCCAGCTTTGTACACATCTTGTATATGTCTTTACCTTTGAATGAGGAGGTTCATGAATATATGACAGTTGTTTCCTTAAAAGCCAGTGGGATAATCACCCTGAGGTTGTGTGAAATCCCCCTTGACATATATTAGCTTCTGTTTCAGCTGTTTGGAGTGGGCTCTTGCTGTTGGCTTTTGGGGGTGAGCTGCGAGAGCCACCCTCAGAGCCCATGGGCATCCTTGACTACTGCCAGTAAGTGAATATAGAGATTTACTCTAGCAGGCAAGGAACTCCATTCTGCAAACAGTCTGGTCAGCATGCTAATGCAAATACCATCTGGTAGCACCTGACTTCAGCTTTGGGAGACCCTGAGATGAGAGCCCAGAGATGCCATTCCCAGCCCACCAGGACCTGCATGATGAGTAGGAATTCTTAATTGCTGAGACATGGTGATTCATTCTGCAGTATCAGAAAATCAGAAATACATGTAGCACTGTGACAGGGCAAGACAGTTCCTCCGTTTTATATTCTTGTTGAGGCCATGTCAAGTTTAACTAGAATTTGATCTCCTTGATGAAAATTCCATGGGAAACTACTCAACTCCATTCTAGCAACCGAAGGTAAGGATGCCCCATCTAATGTATCTTAGCTTCTGCTAAACTGCCGGTTGGTGTGAAACCCCCCTTCAGCTAACTGCTTATTTCAGTTTCTGTTAAACTGCTTGCTTGCTCTGTAAAGCCTCCCTGCAGCTGCTGAACAAAATGTCAGGGCGTGCTTTCTGCCCTCAAAAATCCTATGCTCTGGGTATTCAAGGTTATAGCTAGGTCCCCAAATAATTGATGGTAGTTCTAGCCCTCTGTAATAAAGACTTTCAGTTGTCTATAAATTATGTCTGAGAGGTCATCCCTGGTGGGCTACCAATAAAAACATCCCTGTTAACGTCTTTAGAAGCAAATGTGGCTTCTAAAGACACATAAAATGACTGATAAAATATAAAACCTGCCCCCCAAATCTATCAACATGAGTGTTTTTATACTACTATAAATAAATAAAGTCATGTATATTGACTTTTTTTAGGTGTTTTCAAGGATCATAGAGTCTTGAAACAGAAAAAAAAAGTGATCACCATAAGTGGCAAATTAAAGCTCATTTTTTTCTAGCTTCATAACTATTTTATATATCATTCTGTCATGGCTTCCAATAAATCTGGCCTTAAATACATGCATGTTGTGGCTTTGGAGGCTGTCCTGGAACTAGCTCTTGTAGACTAGGCTGGTCTCGAACTCACAGAGATCCACCTGCCTCTGCCTCACGAGTGCTGGGATTAAAGGTGTGAACCACCAACGCCTGGCTAATAAATGCATGCTTTCAAGACCAACAGGCAGATGATCACTGAGCTCACCTGCTAGCTCTCCACTAGGAGGAAACTCTACCAAGAGAAAGCCCAGCAGGGGCACAGCTGAGAATACTTGCCCACAGCCCTACCAGCACGTACCTCACTGCACCTGGGGTGAGGTGTACTCAACCTTAAAGCCATCCTTTGTAGCTTCTTCCATCAGAAGGAAAACTAATAGTTACAAGACTGAGATTTGAAAACAAGGACCACTCTCTTCCTGTATATGTGTGGGCACAGTTTCTAGGAACCCCAGAAATCCTCATACGGTAGGAATGACACAGGAAACAGAAAGCCAGCTTGCTTTCATACCTTATAAGCAAGGCAAAGTTTGATGGAATGAATTATTTATTGAAAGAACCAATAACTCCAGTTCCAGGGTCTCCTATGTCTTCTTCTAACCTCCACAGGTACCAGATGTGTACAGGATTCCCCCACCCCTACCCCCAGCACACACACAAGCAAAACACTCATATACATTAAACAAGTAAATATAAAAACCTTTTTTTTTTAATTTAAAAGAAAAGGCACATAGATGTGTCCCAAACCTGGGGCAAATGGCTAATTGAGTTGCTTATTAACATGTCAAAGCTAACACTGGTTGCCAGGTTCTCCCAGCATCCCTTGGTCCCTACCTGTTCCAGGGTCCTCCTGGTTAGCATACCCTGCCTCCTATCCTGAACTCTCCAGCACAGGGTCTGAGCTGCTCTTTCTCCTGCTGCTCTTCCTTAGATAACCCAGTCATCTGGGCTATGCGGGCTTTTTTACCCACTTTGTCCTGCTGGCCAGTCCCTTGGCCCAGGCTGTCCCTCTTGGTTGGTAGCTCCTCCCTTGCTCGCCTTCCTCCTCTCTCCTCACATGGCTTGCTGCAGTCTGGCCATGTTCACTCTGGACTCTCCCAGATATCTCTGACTCTGCCTCTTTCTGTCTTCTCCCTCATGTCTACAATAAACCTTCTCCCGCATAACTAAGAGCAGTCATGTCCTCCTCTTTATTTCTTTTTTTTTTCCATCCAATATTACAGATATATCAGCAAAACATTGAACTCTAAGGTCTACCAGAAAACTATTGGATAAACAAAGCAAGGCTCACTCCTTCACACAATGATCATTCTTGGCAGCATCGACCACATAATGTTGAGGGCAAAAAGTCACAGGCAAATACACACAGTATTAGTCAATTTGAAGTTCAGAGAGATTAAAAATACAAGCCATAGTTGGTAGAGTTTTAGATGTGTGTAACGAACCTATACAGGACAGCAAAGCAATGCCAAATTAAAATTCTGGATGCTGGTTAGCTATGGGGGTAGTGAGTAAGGAGATGAGATCAGGGAAAAATCAATACAAAGATTTGGTAGAAATGATCTTTTCTAAATCTGAGAGCAGGCATATGGGTGTACACGGGTTCTCTTACACCTTTACAGGTAGTCTGCGAAGTTAGGGGAAAAAGCAACGGTTTAAATTGCTGTTTTTCTCTTTTCTTTTTTTCTTCCAGAATCTGACCTTCTCCATGTCCCAAGCTAAGAGCTGAACAGTAGCAATTCACACCCAATTTAATGCTCTGATCTAGGTCAGGGAACACTTATCTCTCCCACAGCCCATTAAACGCATTGACTTTGTAACAACTGGTAATTATGATTTTCTGCATAACCAAACTCCTTGTGCTGTTCATTTATTATTAGTGGTAATCATAGGACACTGAGAATTTTTCTTCATAAAATTGTATGCGCAGAAATCTTTCCTTAGCATCCCCTCTTTCTCAGCTCAAGGAAGAGAGACACAGCAAGAGACAGAGCTTACAAACAGCAATCTTGGCTCCAAGCACAGTGCTGCAGTATGCAAATACTGACATCCTTATGCCATTTTCACTCCAGCAGTCACACAACCCAGGTGCTGGGGTACTCTTCTTCACAAGAGAATGGAAGACACTTGGGGCTCTGTGCTTTCCCAAATTCAAACACAGTAATTCAGGTTGGCAGAGAGCTGGGGGGTGGTGACCACTAGGGCAGCTACCCAACCCAGACTGGGAGTTCATCAGAGTTTCCAAGGTGGGATCATCAAAGCCAGGAGGAAGAGGGAATGTATTGGTGGCAGGAGCTTGGGAGAGGATTGGTCCAAGAGCTGCAGAGAGGGGGGTTTAATATCTCCCTGCAGAGCTATACAAAAGTAATCTGATGGCAGTTATTAATCAGATTAAGATTCTTGCTTCTATGACATCTCAGGGTCCTCATAACAGCTATGATGGGCTGTGGAGTCTGAGAGTAGAGTTGCATCATCATATATCTAAGCATAAATCAGTTCTCAATGTCTATGAAATGGGTATAATAACCCTCTAGTTTTTGACGTATCAGGAACTGCATGTCCCTTTGTTACTAGTAATCTACCCTCTATTCATCAGCCAGTGTGGTGTTCACCTGTATCATCCCAGCACTGCACAGGGGAGGCAGGAGAAGTGCTAAAAATCAAGATCCTGTTGCAGAAATGTAAGTAAATTAACTAGATTGAAATTTAAAAGTACAACTCCGGCACCTTGCACTTAACACTCAACTATTAACTCCCATTGTGTAGGTAAATCTTACATTGTTTAAAATAGCTATCTAAGGCTTTTGGTGATGTGTTCTTCATTTCCTCTCAGGTGTCATCTTCTGTGACACTCTGCCACATTAAACTAATCCTAGTTCCCTCAACTCCCCTTTGCACTGCTCGCTCAGCTTTTCGCACAACACCTACCTCCTGACCTTTCTTCAAAAACTCCACTCCTTCAGAGTTAACCCTGGCAGTCTGCAATGGAAAGCTTTTAATCCATCCCTCTCCATGTATACGCCCAAATATTTATCTGCATCTAAAAACCTAGAGGCATTTTATAAGCTTATGTGAATTTACCCACATCATGTTTCTAAACCACCTTAGAATATCAACTTTAAAACTGTTTTTATACACACTGCATGCCAGGATAATGTGCCTATATAATTTGCTTTAAACAATAACAACAACCTATTTTCTGTTTATTGGGGGCAATTTTTAAAATACGGCAGTGATTCTAGCATCTGTTGACCAACAAGCATGTCATGTATGCTTTTTTACTATTATTTCACAGTGTAGTATAAAGTTTTCCCAGTTGTGAAAGAGTGTCAGACAGAGGATGGTCACCTGTCCACAATTCTCTGCAGACCCAAGCAGTGGGCAGTCTTCGGTAGGCAACACTGGGAATCAGATCACAGTACGTGCAGAAGTGTCAGTTATCTTGGTTATTATGGCACTATATGACATCCCTTCTCCACCTCCACCAGAAAATCATCAACACTGTGACAACAGCACCTCATAGAGGGCTCCTCTTACCTCAGCATCAAAGCGTGGGTCCTGGTAGGCATCGCTGACATTCACAGGAAGGCCTGTCGAAGCAACCAACTCAGCGATGCTGTTATTTATCAGCCAGTCAGAGTAGGATGATTTCTCCATGCTTTCTTTGAAACTGCCAGAGCACCAAGCCAGCAATAAGAAAGAAGAGAAACTAAGTTTATTGGAGAGTAAGCTCTGCCAGACTACATTAATAGCTACGTGACCTGTCCTCATTACGGAGGGACAAATGGTATTAGTCATAGAATGACGGGGAGATAATTACCAGAAGCCACTTTGAAACTATTTCCCCACTAGAATGGAAGGTAATCAGACCATGGATAGAAACACAGGCCCTCTACAGGCCAGAGAGTAACGCTGCTGTGTTTAAGTCTCAAGGTAGACAGATTAAAAGTACACAACCAGGTAAAGACTGAAACTGACACAGGTCACCAACACATGGCTTCATACATTTCCATTGGGTTCCTCAGCTTGACAGCCCCCCCCAACATCCTAGATATTTGGTACCAAGAATGGGGGGAACTGGGAAATAAAAGTTGGACATTTTGGTGTAAGGATGGAACACAAGGCCTTGTGCAGGCTAGTGATAACATAGCTCTACCTATTGGTGCTTCTAGTCTTTAAGCCACATTTTATGTAAGAAAATACTAAGGTATTGTTGTAACACTATTTGTACATATTTGTGCATAGTTGTTATCATCATATTGTATGTTCCCATTTGGAGTCCATGCTGACATGGAGACCACGAGATGCATGAATGAGCAGGTAGGGTAGATTATTTATCATCATCTCTACATCACATCTGTAGGGAATGATGCTCTGCAGCTCAGGATATATTCGTGACGTTATTCATCTCTTATTGCATATAAAGCACAAAGAGCACACAAGCTTACTCTCTGTGGATCTCTAGATGCAAATGGAAGTTTTAATAAGAGGTTCAGGTTTATAGCTATTAAGTAGTATGTGAATCAAAGAACTTCAAAGAAAAGACATTTTGTTTTCTAACAAAATAACAAGTTCTGTGTTCTGTTTTTTCCTCACTTCTTTGTATTTATGACAGATGAAGCTTTATGTCATGTTTTAATGAAAGCAACATAGAGGAAGAAACATGGTAAACTGTATCTGACATTTGGATCTAGGCTAACAAAGTCATTTCTAAACGTATAAAGATGTGTGGACTGAATTCTTGATGCTTTTTTGAAGAGGCAATGCCTTGCTAATACTTTATATGTTGTCTATGTTGTCTGTATACTGTATTTTACAATACTTTGTGTGTGTGTGTGTGTGTGTGTGTGTGTGTGTGTGTGTGTGTGTAGTCCAGAGGGTGATGTCAGGTGTTTTAACTGATCACTCCCCATTTCATTTCTGAGACTCTCTCACTCTCACTGATTTAGTTAGGCTGGCTGGCCAGTGATATTAAAAGACCCACCTATCTTTGTCTCCTAGTGCATCAGTTACAAATGACTCTGTCAGTCCCCATTTTAACATGTGTGCTGGGGATATGAACTCAGGTCCTGATGCTTTCCGTGACAGGCATTCTACCAACCAAACCATCCCTCCAGCTCCATTCAGTACAATTTTAGATGTGTTTCCTGGTCAACTAGTTTGGGAAGTGCTGGCCTATTATGTAGACTGTGGGGGAAAGGGCTGAAGTGGGACCTTAGAAAGACCTGAGTGAGAAGTCAGTGAGGAACCTGAGCTGAGGAAGAGTAGGGACAGGGAGCAGGCATTAGCCACTTCACTGAGTGTCTTTCAAGATGGGCATAAGTCCACAGGAGAGGTTAGAGGTTTGAGGAGGAAACATCAGGAATTAAAGACAAACACAGAAAAATGAGCAATCAGATAGTGAGGAATAAGACTGGAAAGAAGGCCAGGGTCCAGGAATTTAGAATTTGATAGAGTTGCTGGGACCTTAGCTATAGGCAGTAAAGAACTGCTTATGACTATGGAAAAGAGTGGGCAGTGGTGGCACACGCCTTTAATCCCAGCACTGGGGAGGCAGAGGCAGGTGGATCTTTGTGAGTTCGAGGCCAGCCTTGTCTACAGAGAGAGTTCCAGGACAGCCAAGGCTGTTACATAGAGAAACCCTGTCTTGAAAAACCAAAATGAATGAATGAATAAACAAACAAATAAATATATGGAAAAGAAAAGGCTACTTGAGCATTCATTTAGTAACTGTAATTCAGAGGTAGTGAATAAGAAGTGCTAGCTAAGAGAGACAAGAGATGAAATGAGACCTTGGTGGACTACAGATGTCAAGCATATGTCAAGGGCTTGGTAGTCAGACACTGGTGGTGTACATTTTGCTCCTGAATACCTGCTACTATTCATAGCAAGGGTTTGTTTTGAGGCTGAAGAAGATGAGAAAGATGACAGGTATTGCAGAGGCATGGACAGATTGTTCATGGGGTAACAGGACAAGAACCTCAATCAGTTCTCAAGACTGCAAAGCTGACAGACACGGAGGTGAGATTGTTTTTACTGACATGACATGCAAATGGCTGGGATTTCTCAGAAAGGGCTTGTGTAGAGAAATTGATATGGAGGGAAAGAAAGGAGGGAAAAGGCAGAAATCAGGGGGAGGGAAAGAGAGAAGAAAGGAAGTGAAAACAAACAGACACTGCTGTAGAACAGAGCCCATCCGGATGTTTTGTTTACTAATTTGTTGTCTGCATGGGCATCTTGATAACATAGATGTGAGTCTCTGTATCCCATCATCTCAGAAAACTGAAGCCCAGAGATGCTCTCAACCTTCCGGAGAGATATGATTTTTACCTAACTCTCACTCCTTACTCCCAGATGACTGTTCCTTTATTACCCTTCAGGATAATAAGCAGAAGAAAAGCAAGGCTCGTGGACCTTGCTCTGAAAACAAAGGAGAGCCACAGTGGACACCAGAGGGCTTGGGAAGACGCAGAAGTAGAGACACTGCTCTGAGCTGCAGTGAAGGGGGGAAGGAAAAACACTGGGCTTGCTTATAAGAGCCCCAAGCCCCCACTTACAGAATTTCCCAAGAAAGAATGGTGACAAAACACTGACCCAGGGCTCATGAAAGCCTCCTTCTAAATATGTGACATTTTTAGAATTGTCTCAGTTCAGACTGCACCCTTCATTGAAATAATTGCATCATCACACCGTCATTGTAGAGGTAGGGGCACTGATTCCATGCAAAACACTGTTAAGCAGTCTACAAAGAGCTATGGTTTTTGCATTTACAGTGCATACCACCCAGCCGAAGAGGAGATAGAAACACACTGGCATTTAAACAACATATAAATTGAAATGCCCAGGACAATTCTCAAATGAAAAAATTGTCATGCAGCCAGGTAGCCAAGTCACCAAGTCAGTTGAATTAACTATGAATGCTGAAGGGGCCCAGGAGCTTCAGAAAGGAGGTGGGCTCTGAAATGCCCTGTGGCTGTGACAGTGCAACAGACTTTCTGAAAACTTGCACCTGTACAGTTGATGATCCATAGGAACATATGCTGAGGTTTAGGAGATAGGATACCCAGAGAGAAATAGGGAAAGTTGATCTGTCATTTACATCATTGTCTCAGTCTGGGTTGCTGTAACAAAATACCATGGACTAGGTGGAAAATGAAAAACAAATATTTATCTCTCATGGTTCCAGGGAAAACCAAGATCAAAGGTCTTATAGATTTGGTGTCTGGTTCCTTCTTGTGTATTTCACATGGTGGGAAGAGTGGGAGAGCTCTCTGGGGCCTCTTCTCTAAGGATACTAATCCCATTTATGAAGGCTCGCCATATGAGCTAATCATCTCCCAGAGGTAGCACCTACAGATATTCCCACACTCGGGACTAGGTTTCAACATCTGAATGTTCAAACCACAGAAATCATACTCTTGTCTTTTACACCAGTTCAACTTTTCAATCCCAATTGCAGCATTGTTGTAGCTTTCAAAACCTTGCTTCTTTTCTTTGTTGTTCTCATTTTTCAAATGTGTAACTTGGTGCAATAATTCAGACACTCATTTTGAAGTCAGATCTGTCCCATTCAAATGGCCCTTCTCACCACTGTGCTTTCAGGTGAGTTACCAATGCTTCATTTGTAAACTGGGGATAATAGTACTTATTAGACAGTTGTAGTTCATACTAAGGTAATATTTTCAGTCAAGAGTTTAGCTTAGTAAACATCTTTTTAAAACATCATGTTTGCAGCAGATTTTTCACACTGTATTCTTTTAATACATTTTGTCAATGTAATGCATTTAATCACTAAAGAAAGGGCCCCATCACTTCAGGTGTTTTTGTTTGTTCTTTTAGACAGGCTTTGCAGATCTACTTATTCCGACTCATGAGGACCCTTGTATTCACTGTCGTTTCCTTTTTTATGCTGATTGCTGTTGGAACAAGACACTGGACAGCTCTGCAGACATAATAGGTCTCTATAAAACAGTTGTTCTCAACCTGTGGCTCCCAACCTCCAAAAGGCCATAGGAAAACACAGATTATGATTCATACCAGTAGCAAAATTATAGTTATGAAGTGACAATGAAAATAATGTTATGATTGCGGTTACTACAACATAAGGAACTGTATTTAAGGGTCACAGCATCAAGATGGTTGAGAACCACTGCTATAAAAGGAATGAATGCTGTGGAAATGTAGTCTGAATATACATATTTGCTTGCAGTTGTACCATCAAAGGAGGTACCTTCTTCAAATTTTTATGCGGCTTGCCAGTACCTGGCTTCAATCTCTTCTTCAACACATCTGAAAGATGGGCATGTAATATTAAATTGAGATGCTTTCAGTGAGGCAACTAAAACACATCCATTACTTTCTAATAACCATCACCTCTTGTAACCAAACAGCACACATTTCCCTATGTGGCAGCCCTGTAAATATTTGGCAGTAATTAACACAGCTCTCCTGGTCTTAAATAGCCCCTCCAACTCTATCAGACCCCTATCTGTATTCATGAGAACCACAGCTGGGCTCATTTCCTTATATAGATGTTTTGGAAGCATCTTGATGTTTCCAAAGTTTGTTTATATAAACAATATATTTTGGGGCTTCTTACATTCAAATTATAATGCTATTTTTCCCCTGCAGTGAGAATGTCTAACATCATAGAGCAAAAAATAAAAGCAG